TGGTGTCATCTGCACATTTGCTGAGAGTGCACTCAGTCCCATTGTTTATGTCATTAATGGAGATATTAAATAACACTTGTCTCAATATGGACCCCTTATGTTGCTCAAAAATTCTGTCTAAAACCATAAAATAAGCTTCTGAATTTCCAGGTTAGCATTGCAAACTTTTGTCATCAATGTGGCTTTTCATTTCTGGGAAGAAAATACCTTAAAGGATAACCATCAAGGTGGATGGATAAAATGACAGTGAATAAGGGAAAAGTTCAGTTCATGATGCTTCTACTGAATCTTTACAATAAAAGTTGGCCTCATTAACTTGACAAAAATTTTAAAAAGGTTATAAAAACCCAGATTGTCTCCTGAATAAACAAACAATGTTTCCTTCTATTCCCTTCTGTCATCAAACACTGTATGTAGCTACAGACAGCTCAATAATTTCAGACAGGTTTGATTTTTCCAGTAGATAGTGTCCCTTTAATGCCAAAGAATCAGACCTTTAATTAAGCTGGAGGGAGACATGAAGAAGTTTGCTAATGAAGAGAGGACCATAAGAAACTCCAGCGTCTGAAGGGAAAGATAAAAAGAAAAGCCTGAAGGAATATCATTAGCCCCCAAGGACCTATTTCTCCTGTTTAAATAAAACACGGATGCAGACAACTAATGTTAGAATTTGCAACAGCAAAGGAAACAGTCCTTATTTTTATGTTCATTGACTTTTAATTACCTTTCTGTACACCTTTGCAAACCTTATGTCTGAGATGGAGCATGAGACCTCAAGTGTGTTCCTACAGCACCTGTTGTCTTTGAGATGGCTTATCAAATTGTAAATGTGGACAACTGGTACTTGACAGCCCCTTCAGCGACGACGCTTGACATGCCCATACCACCTTCCCAGTTCCCTCCCTTGTTCTATAAGAGCAATTGTTTGCTCTTGAAATTCTGATCATGCTGTCACTACCAGAGCATGTACTTGGAATTCCTGGGAATTTCCAAGAATAAACTAGAATTTCCAAACACCTGGCAAATATTTGTACATAAGGCAATGGATCAGCTAGCTGATCCTGGGCACTTGGAAGGATTAATTCGCAAAAATCAAGGCAAATAGTCCGCAGAATTTTTCATTCAGACTGGTTGAAATTTTATAGCTTGACAATTTGGTGGTCTGTAAATACACACAGTATTTCTACAGTGCACATTTTAACTGCTATACAAAATTTCAGACTTGGGATGGCTGACAAATCTCCTGAGTTAGAACCTGAGAACAGTAAGATCTCTTCTGTGGTGGCATTTTAGAAGCTGCATGGTGTGCCAGCTCTGTGAGCAGATCCCTGCACTGTGCACAGGCCCATGGGGGACAGCATGACACTTGCAACAATCTCATTTTAGGACTAAAACTTAAAACCTTGTAAAAATGGCTCAGCATTCATTTATGCTCCAGAAAATCAGACTCATAGAATTATAGAATGATTTGGGTTGGAAGGAACCTTAAAGATCATTCCAAACCCCTGCCATGGGGGCATAAATGTCTTACATTGTGAGGTATCCTATCATACCAAGAGTCCATTTGATATTTTAACGTGCAAGAAATTATGTTGTTATTCTTAGTCCTTCTCTGGCTTGACATACCTTGACACATCCACAGTAATCTTTTTGCACATTTCTATTGTTTGTGATATCTCTGTAGTTCAGAGGAAAAATTATGGTAAATCTTTAAGAATGCCAAAACTTTTCTTTTTTGTAAAGGAATTCATGCATTAAAATGTTATAAAAGACTGAGGGATCATCTTCTGACTCTTGAAATGTCTGAAGCAGGTACCTGATTTGAGAGTTGGGCCTTCTTATACAGCCACTAGCCTATCCACGAGGAAATTCATAGCCTTTGAGATCCTGCATCTCCAAGCTCTTAACCAAGGCACAGAAGATACATGTATAATGAAATCATTAGAGAGCATCCAAAGGGGGCCATGAAGATAGTGACCGGTCTACAGGGGGAATTCATACAGAGAGTGGCTGAGGTCACTTGACTGGAGGAGACTGCAGAGAGCCCTGATTGCAGACAGCAGCTTCCTCACGAGGGGAAGCAGAGGGGCAGGCACTGGTCTCTTCCCTGTGGTAACCAATGATGGGGTTTGAAGGAACAGCATGAAGCTGTGCCAGGGGAGGTTTAGGTTGGGCAACCACCACAGAGTAGCTGGGCACTGAACAGGCTCCCCAGGGAAGTGGTCACAGCACCGAGCCTGACAGAGCTCAAGAAGTGTTTGGACAATGCTCTCGGGCACATGGTGTGACTCTTGGGGTGCCCTGTGCAGGGGCAAGAGTTGGACTCGATGATCCTTGTGAGTCCCTTCCAATTCAGGATATTCTGTGATTCTGTGATTCTAGTCCATGCTGATATCCATTTATCGTGCTGGAATAGATCAAAATCTCAAGTTATTGGCAGTAAAATACCATCTCTGTTTCTCAATTATTTTTATTAATTTATTTATCTCCTGATAAGGTAGTATACAGTATAAAAATTTGGATCATTTATTTTTTCATTCCTCTGCAGAAGCCAGCAGGGCTCAGCTTAGGCGCTGTAATATGAAGTAAAATCACAGCAGTTTTAAGCCGAGTAACAAGCTGAGTTGCAATGAACAAATTCAGCCTCTTCTGTTATTTATACTAATAGTAGGGGTCATGTGAAATCTCTGACCTGTATGTGGGATGACAACCAGAAAGAACTTGAGAATCTCTATGCTCAGACACATCAGTTTTCTCTAAGACTTTTTAAAAACTCTGCCTTACCATGACACAATCACAATTCCCACATTCCTTCTCCAGAATAAATGACTTTGAGAAAATCAGTATTTCAGTCCTTGCCAATATTTTTTCTTATAAATCACAGAATTTACATTTCAGTTAATGATTTGGAAAACATGATTGACGAGGAAGAAAGAGTGGGTTTGTGCTGTTTTTGTTCCGTTCAGTTGTATACATGCAGCCAGAGTGGTTTATTCCTTAAGAAAACTAAGGGAAAGGTCATGTTCACATGGGTTTTCTCACTCTGAAGTGTGTATCATCTCCTCAGTACTAGAAATATTACAATTCCCAACAGTACTATAGGAATTTCCATAATGGATTTCCGTCAGGAAAAATGTCTCTGTAAGCCTTTTTGTTGCCATATTAACAGCACTGACAAACAGGTTTGGCTACATGTCTTTTGACAAGAAGTATGCGATTTATCAGTGATATTTCTGATATTTCTGTAAGCAAACAAGCTGAAATGCATATGTTTTTAAATATAATAATGGGCTTCTCAGTTTGTTTGGTTTTGGGTTTTTTTTGACAGGACTTATGCACTTATGTTTTCTATATATAACAGTTGATCCTTCCTCTAAACTTTTAACTCAGTGGCCAATTTCCATCAAACATCACAAGGGGTAGCAGTCAGATATTACTTGAAGGCTGCAAGAACTATGGGGCTATTAGGAGAGAGAGAGAGAGAGAAACTTTACAAAGTGTTCACTGATAAGAAAGCTAATAATCTTTCTCCTTTCTAGCCACCAGAGAATTCAAATGGAGAAGACTGGCAGAGAAATACGGAATTACTTGTTTTCACCTGCAAATCATTTAAAGAAGAGACAGTTTAAGGCCCTACAAGTCTGCAAGGGTGGCAGGCAAACATTTGGCAACATGGAAATGGGCCTCTGAAAGAAAAATAAAAATTATTTCAAATACTTAATTTAAAACATTCCTAAAATGGCCATTGGAAATCTATCAAAACCTACTATTATCACAGGGTTTTTTTAAGATTAGCATTTGTTTTTGTAAAAAAATACTATTTCCATTTAGCAAATTCCTTGTCTTTTTAAATTCCAAATAATTCTAAGACATTATGATGAAAAATTTGAGCCAAATCAGCATCTCTACAAAGAATGATCTCTAAATACAGGAAATCCTACTGATACAATTGATTTTTAACTTTGAAAAAGCCTCTGACCTTACTGCCCACAAGAGGCTGATGAGATCAGTGCTGTGATCCAGCTTCTGCTTCCATCAGTAGCATTCTTTACTCATGTGACGCCCCATTAACATTAAGGGACCTGTCAGTCTGCCCACATGAAAGAAATTGCAGTCAGCTCCCACAAAGACACTGATAGGGTAGTATATGATAAAATGACACTAAGACCTGAAAAAGTGTTTCTCACTCTAAGTGTTTCCTTGTTTTCTGCTACATGCTCAACTTCCTTTTGAGGTTTATAAGCCCTTTGGAGCAGAGACTATTCTCCCCAGTGCCTGGCTGTAGACCAAGCAACTTGTGTTTTATGGACATGTATGAAACGTGGGAGGTGCATAACTGTCTGCAGGAGCTGGGGCTTCTTTGTGCATCATGGCACAGCCCATGCAGCCCCACAGTTCTAGGTCCATAACCATAGAAGCAATAAACCCAGAAGGATCTCTCATAATTTGAGAACAAAGCGATACTTAATTAAAATAAGAAGAAACAAAGTGTGACAGTTTTTTCATATTTCTTTTTACAACAGCATATAATTAGTCTGTGGATCTTGCTATCTAAAGATACTCCCAAGCCCCAGTTTTGAGGGCAGTGTCAGGAAACATTTCATTAGGGAAGGGCATAGTTCATGGTAGGAAAGGAGTAATTTGTCCCTCAACTAAGCAAGTGCAGATTGAAAGGGTGCCTGTTTCATTCTCCATGGCATACAAGCTATGTTGAAGCATTGCCAGTAAGAGTATCATTCCTCTCACCTCCAGGAAGCAGTAATGGATTCATATGAATCAACGGCAATGTAAAATTTGCTGTCACTGAAGATCACCCCTTCCTATAGTCTTATTTTTTCCTTTGAGTGTGGTCAGGGCTAAAAACCTAAGAAAAAAAAAAAACAAGAGACTTGATGGTACCCAGAATTTTTCATGCTCAAAGGAGAAGTTGCTCTGAAACCTGATAGGTTCCTGATTTACATTACAGATATTTTTATCAGTTAGATATTTCTAATTACTTTACCTTTTCTTGTGTAAAGTTTGTGTCAGCACCTTTAATTTCAGCTCAGGACAACACAGGCAGAAAAGGGGATGCAGGCATCTCCTGGCACATGCTCAGATAACTGGCACCTGCACAGAAAGTGTGACATGCTCCAGATACCTTGAATTTTTATTCACTTCAAGTACAGTTGATCTTTGTATGTGTGCTGGCCAGTTATCAGGACAGACATCACTTGGTCTGCACTACTGCACATCTACTCAGGTTGCTAGCTATTCAGAAATCCCAGACATAAGACCAAATTCCTGGTTTTCTGTGTCAACAAAATTTGGGGGGGGGGGGGGGGGGGGAGGGCCAGCAGTTCATCCCAATGGAAAGAATTAAGATATGTAGGTGAATACCCAGCTTTTCAAGAAAGAAGAGATTGCTCCTCCACTAAGCAGTACGGTGGTGTTTGTCGCTGAGCACCTCCCCAGCTCCTGGAACACGGCACAAGGGAATTACAAGGGCAGAGCAGCGCAGCACTGCCAGTTCCAAGCCTTCTTGATGGCCCAGCATCTCCTGTCAGTGGCACCTGTGGACAAGGAATAGAATTAAGAGCATGGTTATGGCAGAATTGTCTGGATGAGAACAAGGTGTGGCAGGCTCAGTGATGAAAATGCTTGGAATTAGCAAGGCAGCTCCTCCCTGCTTGCAACTCTGGTGTAGCCATTACCTCCTGGCAGTATCCCTTGCAGCAATGCCCTCAGGATTTCTCTCTCCCCCTGTGTCATATACTCTGTGTGTCAATGCTACAAGGGTGATAATAGCCACACAAGTAATTTATTAATTGGCAGAAGAATGTGAAATACTGAGAATGTGTCTTTGTGAAGGGGCAGAGGAAAAGAAAACCTTTAAAAACTGCAAGTCTAATGATTATAAAATATCTACCTTCCCTCATTCTTGTCTTTATTTGCCTTATTATTATTTATAACAAAAATTATCAAATGCTTGCTAAGTTTTACCCAGTCTCTAGAAAAGAAGCCATCGTTCTTCAGAATTATTTATCCTTTTTGAAGTTCCAGTCTTACAGGTTTGCAGATGTCACAGCACATGACTGGAGACTTACAGACTCTAACTAATAACTTTACTCATGAGCAGTCCCCAGGAAAATTCATGCATCCATTTCAGTGCATAGGTATTTACAGAAACAAGATCCAGTTGTCCTGGAAATCCATATATTTTGTATATGTATATTTTGTTATGTCTGAGTCATTGTCTCATGTCTGTTGTGATGACACTCTCATATTTTTTGAGTGGAAACAAGCTGGTTTAGATTTTGCTTCCAAATATTTTGTTTCCAAATGCTTTTCTATTCTTGTTTGTCTTTTTAGGTGTCATCCTGACATCTGTACTCTGAAAAATATAACCTTCTCAGTCTGAAATGCTGTTCTTCCAGCTAGAAGATTTTATAATAACATTTATCTCTGTCCACTAAACATCACACTCTTATTTTAAGAGAGATTTTACAAGTTCTTGAATATCATAAGAAGAGTCGTGAGTTTAAAGTTTCAAAAGCTTCTTGCTCATATATGTGGAGCTTTACACTGTGTTCTGAGAATCTATAGTCACGTCTCATTTACAAGAGCAAGATACAATGAAATAACCTGGGGGCGGGGGGGTAGGAGTGTTATTTTACCTGCAGTTCTTGATGCCTTGGCTTTTGTTTTATCTAAAAATTGCAAAGGGTGAATTCAGCCTATAGGTTTTGTAAGCAATAGGGGTTAAACCTAGTTATAATTTAATTCAAGCCATGCTGAAGTGGTTGCAAGAGGAAGAAAGACACAATTTCCTCATAGTGACACTTCAAAGAGAAGTCTTAGCCATGTAAATCTGGATGCTCCAGTTCTAGCAAGGAATCCTGTGTGTGTATGTAATCAGCCTTCTTCCTAGCAGAGCACTCAGAGCTTCCTCAGGAGCACTGCAGGTCACACGGCTCCTCCTAAACCCAAGGGTGATCGTGGGACTTCACATGCCATTTGTCAAGACCAGGTTCTACAAGCTGTTGTGAGGGCTCTTGGGCAGAGTCAGTTGCTCTGGCCGGTCTTGATCCCTACAGTCATTTCATAACAATGCCAGACTTCTTATACTGACAGTCTGCATTTGCCCGAGTGCCTTTTGGACTGTTCAGCCAGCTACTTGTGCAGCAAGCATGCCAGGTATTTTCTCAGTTTGCTGGCACAGACATTGTTCCTGCTGAACCTTACATGATTATTAACCAACAGAGGGTTGGTAAGAGGGAGCTTCTTGACATCTATCCAGGATCTAGATGTTACCATAACACAAATGGTCTTTAAATTCAGTATTTCAGGCACTTTCACTCCATTTTCACATCTGTCATTTTAAGTTGCATGAACTTGAAAGGTTCTGTGTTTGTTTGCTTTAATGAGAGTCTTTGGCAAGACATGGACTTCCTGCAAGACTCCATGGTCCTAGGACATGCAAGCCCTCAGGTCACATAGCACACAGGGTGTTGCATATCAGGCTCCGTTTTCAAACACCTGCATCAGCACACAGCCTACAAACAGCTCCTAAACACAATTAAAGATCCTCTATTATTCCCAAGTCAAAGATTCCCATGTCAAAGATTCCCATCCCCTTATTTTGCCAGATTGCTCCAATAACATTGTGTTGATGTCCATAGTGTTTTTCTGCCTTCCACAGAGTAATCAGTGTTCAGCAAACACCAAGCTTGCTTCTCAGCTGTGAGATGTGTTGCCTTCTCATGCTTGGGAAAATAAATGGCACATGCTTAGGAGTGCTTATTCACGCAGGTACTTAACCAGATGTCAAAGCGGTGAGTAATAGGGCGACTCAGCAAGTTGCTATTCGGCTATTAACTGTGTGCTTCAGTAATTAGCTTCTGCTGAAAACCAGTTCTCCACAGGCCAGAATTTTAGGGTAGAAATGGCAAGTTAAATGAGAAGCACACAGAGATGCTGTGGTTAACCTTGTCAGTCAGTAGATGGCTCTGTTGCTTCTAGCCATCTTCAGGGAACAGCACTGCATCGCCGTGGCCAAGGAGAGCGCTCTTCCCCGGGAATACAAGGAGCCACTGACTGCTCATAGACCTTTTCACTTCGTTGTTTCCAAATGGTTCAATTTGCACACAGCATTTTTCATCTATCTATTTATTTTTTGAAGGTGTTTGTTAGTTGCACAAAATCTTTGTTAACTCTCTGGTTGAGCCGTCTATGCATTACTGTTTCATACACCTTAGCTTAATTTTCTGTTCTTGACATCACCACAATTTCACAGCAACAGGTTACAAATGCCCCACTGGGAAGGAACGGGTTATTGAAACTGTTTCGAAGTGGACTGTGAGTTTCTTCAGTTGTGTATTCATAGTCACTGTCCTGGCTCCTTCTCATTCTCACCTTGTGGCCTAGCAATTGTGCAAGTGATGGGCTTCCTGTCAGCTTAAAACATGGCAACACTCACATCACCAAAAAATTACAATTGCTTCTTTGATTAGCCCCAGCAGAGAGAATGAATAAACACAGAGTTCAAGCTACTCTTCCCTTCCAAAGAAACAGTCACACCAAATTGGAATTGTAGGAGACTGCCAGGGCATCAGGAGGAAACTTGGAGTGTTAGGCTCCTTCTATTCTGCAGATAAAAACAACATTTCAGTTACCCAGAAAATCTATTAATGAGTTTTCTCATGCATTAAATGGCCACACAAAACCCTCTTCTCCTCTGTCCTAAAAACACAAGCCAGTATGATGCCAGAAGAACTCAGTGGTGGCAGAATTTGCAATGGGCACAAGGAGATTATGTTGGCTGCAATGGAAAGAAATGAAAAAAGAGACAAGTTTATTATTTGGCAGTTGTGGGAAGATACAGCAAAACTAGTAGGAGAGGTAAAAAGTTCAGGAAAAAAGTAGTAAACACTTTCAGATGCAGGTGGATTAATGTTCAGAAGGTGGTCATATCATCTGAGCTCCTGGAGCAAGGAAAGCAGGTCCTGTAGGCAGGATCTGCAGTCCTCTGGAAGCACTGGGAATGTTTTTATGGGTTTCAATAGCCCGTAGAGCTGCCAAATGTTGTGCATTTCACTCAGGCCACTGAGGACCTTCTCACGCTGGCCTGGCTTTCAGCTGGTTTCTCAGGCACTCAGGCTGGCAGTGGGAAAATGTGTCAGGCTTTTGGCTTGTAGTTCTGTCTTTGGACTGTTAGGGGCCCCCATGGCTCTACTCCTGTGTAATCATGACCTGTCTGTAACTGGAGTATGGCCCTAAGCAGTGATCCAGAACAAGGGTACCAGGATAAAGGTTCCCAAGCTGACACATCTATGTCAGTGATGGCAGTATCCCCAACATTTTGCTTCACAGGTAAAGTAGCTTCTACCTCTGGAAAGCCCAAGTCACAGCATCAACTCCTTTTCTCACCCAGCAATGTCTGACTCATTCATTATCCTTCTGCACTGGAACCACATGGGTCTGATGTTCTCTGTGCTTCCCTCCTGCTTGGTGACCATCTCTTCCCATTAATGCCCTTTCTACTTCCCAGCAGCATCCATCTGGCAGCCCTCTCCAGCACTGCACTAGCCCACACCTCTGCTCTACACTGCTTAAAGTAATGTGTGTTGCCTGCTAGTCTGAAAATTGTTTGCAAGCAGGTGTAAAATTGCACACAGGGACGTGGCACCTTTTGGAATCACTGTTTCAGTCCCAGTCTGGGGCAACATAATGAGGACAATAATAATCACAAAATCAAAGAAACAAGTTTTCAACTTGTGAAAAATGCCTGCAGTTAAGGAATGACTGCCCAGCATGTGGAAATGAATAACCAGGGTCTGGAACAAGATAGGATTTATATTGACATAGATTTCATACTGGATGACAAAAAAAAACATCAAACAGATTGAAATAGCAGAGGAATTTATCTAGAAAATGCTGCCTCACAGATCTATGAGAATATGGAACGTTAAAAATCCATATTCAATGAGGGGTCAAGGGAGATATTTAACCTTTCTTGGGCTGTACATGTATGAAAACTTGACTTAGATGGTTACAAGCTTTAAAGAAGGCTGACCCATTTTGCTGTTTAAAATATTCTGAGACTTCCATGGAGACATATCTGATGCCACCTATATATAATGACCTAGATTTTAAAAACAGTTGGGAAGCAGACGTCTGGAAATCTGCTGTGAATTTTAACGTTTTCCATGCAAAGATGCAGTGTAAACTGGCAGTTTCATTTCTCCTATGAAGGACCAAATGCATTTGGGGCTTCACAGTTATATAATTAGGAATGTCATATTTGGAAGATGACTGTGAAGTGACAACAGAGCCATCCTTTCCCTGCCAGATTCCTGTCCTAAAGGCTGCTCAGGTAAGCACAGGTCTAATGCTATCTAATAACTGTATGGTTGTCTGTGTGCCATATCTTAATGGCTTATTAATAAATGGGTGTCAGTGGCACAAAATTCACAGGCACCACTAGTGCCTGCTGGCTGAGTTCTCACAGTGACCGACTAATGGAGCAGTGAAGAGAATGAATTGCTTTGCCAACAGGAAGGGGTCAGAATAA